ATAGTCAGTTTTTGCTTGTCCTCAAAATGCGCGCGCACCTTACTTTCTAAATGCGCATGCACTTCATTTCAACGGATGTAAACAAAAGGCGGATGTAAATATACTTTAGTAGACATTTTGTACGACAAAATGTTTTGTTTATTTGTTTGTAGTTAATCACAAAGCTACACAAAGGGTTATCTGTGCTCTGCCCACCACGGGTATCGAAACCCGGTTTCTAGCGTTGTAAGTCCCCAGACATACCGCTGTGCTACTGGGGGACCCAACAAAATGTTAAAAGCTTATCAAAGTTTTTAAAAGGGTCCAACGTTAGGCCGTAGAATAAGTTTATTTATTGATAGTGTTAAGTACGGTAAAGTTTTCAGCTCTAACTAAACTAAAGCAAAAATAATGTACACATATTATAGTGTTGATTTATGTCTTTATCGAATATAGGTTGTACTTAATAACGACTTAATTAAATTAAGGCCTAAGACAAGTGTAATTAATAAATTTCGGTGTCTGCGTCTGTCTGTCTGAGAGCACAGTCCACATGGGCTATCTGCTGTGTCCACCGCGGGGAATTCAGTCCGTATACTTACCGCTGTCCCACCAGTGGATTCAGACTGCGATAGAATTCTTTAGTATTATTTTAGTGCTCTTGTATCTAAAGACGTACTGTTGCAATAAAAGTGCTCTTGTATTTAAAGACGTACTGTTGCAATAAAAATGCTCTTGTATTTAAAGACGTACTGTTGCAATAAAAGTGCTCTTGTATTTAAAGACGTACTGTTGCAATAAAAATACCAATTTGACCGCAGATGTTTTCCGGGCCTCTGCTGGTTATAAAATATTCTCTTAAATAAAATTTCTAAAAACTGGGTTTCGATACCCGTGGTGGGCAAAGCAAAGAAAACACATTGTGCAGCTTTGCGCTTAATAACAACTAAACTAAGAAAGATAAATTTTAAATTATTTACTTCATCAATAAAATGAAACCAATATCACGGGGTTTTCGTGTTGTCTTTAGGGTTTTCGACTCGCAATCTGTGGGTCGCAAGTTCAAATCCAGTCAACGAACATGATCGCTCTTTCAACCGTGGGGGCGTTGTAATGTTACGTCAATCCCACTTTTCGTTGGTAAAATAATAGTCCAAGAGTTGGCGGTGGGTGGTGTTGACTAGTTGCCCTCGTGTAATTTTGCGTTAAGTTTCAAAAACAAACAAACCGGTTTTTCCTGTCATCTCTGTATGTGTATATCCAATAATGTTCTTCTTGCAATAAATTTAATATTCGGCCAAAGAAAATGCTTCCAAAATGGTCTTACACTATGTAAGTTAGCTTTTGGACGAAAATAATGAAATTACGCGTTTTGATTTTATATTTTATTTATAATAATAGTTTATGTAATTTGTAAAAGGTTTTTGTTTTGTTTGGAGTTAAGCACAACGCTACACAATGGGCTATCTGTGCTTAGCCCACCACGAGTATCGAAACCCGGTTTTTAGCGTTGTAAGTCCACAGACATCTCGCTGTGCCACTGGGGGGCTTTTTAAAAGGATGACATGAAATACAAATAAAATTCAACATGTCCATATTATTGAAACTCCAAGTTTTAATGGTTTTTCAGCTAGTCATTTATGACCCTAAACTTTTAGACAATATAGTATTTCATGGTTTCCGAAATAAAATACGTTTGAAGGCGAAAAGGCTTAAATGAAAAGCTAATGCTATCAAAGCACCATAATCAAAATACGGCACTTCATAAATGGTATATTTAAAACTCAACTGCTCTCTCTTTATAACTGTGAAGAAATAACGCCGTACTGTCTTAACTTTTTGTAAAATAAATATTAGACTTTAGCTTTAAATTAATATCAGAGTGAAGCCCACAATTCAGTTATCTCTTTCAATAACTGGGGGATACAAACGTGCTAATCACAGGAAACAACTGTTTTATCAGTAACTGCCTATTCCACTTTTCATTAGCGTTTCATGAATATTGTTGATTATAATGTTTGAAATAATTTTGAATACTATTAAAGTAGTTTTTATACTTAATATAATATTTTGCATTGATAACTTATTATATGGATTTAGGATTAACTGTCTAAACCTCACCAGATATTGAGAGTAAGCCGAAAATGTCGTTAAAATCGAGGGTATCCAACTGATTATTCAATGTAACCTGATCATTGTGAATTATAATTTTCTTGTATATTGATGTATTACATTGAAGTATATCTAATCATTTTATCATGTAGGCTGGAATATATTTATAAATTACTTTTTAATTCCTAATTACCATATTTGTAAACATTAGTTTAATTAATATATATATATTTGATTTGCAGTAAATGTACACACACAGACATATATATAACTTGCGATACCAGAATGACAACGATTAAAACTTCTGGGTTTTTCCTTCAATCACAGGCTCACGATTTATCAGTTACATAACATATCACTTTTAGCGTTTATTTTCAATAAGAACTTTGAATCGAATTCCTGTGTTCTTACCACGTGACGGTGTATGTTTACACTTTTCAAGACGGCTGAATCGATCTATTCATCTGTCTGTCGATAGGGGGCATTGTATTAATAGGTTATATCATATTGCATTCTTAACAATTAAGCGACCGATTTGCTAAGCCTAGTTTTTAAACTTGTGACGAAGCTGCAAAAGATATATAATACACAGCATTTTAAGAAGAAAAACAAACTATCATACAGCAAGGATATCTATCATACAATAATTTTTAATCAAGAACTTGTAACGAATAACCATCTTAATTCCATTTAAGAATGAAGTGTGAACATTTTATGGAATTATAATATTTTAATATCACTTAATAATACAGTAAAAAAAAATATTGAAACTATTTTTCACAGTGCTCAGAGTTATAGCTCTTTCAATTCTTCGGAATGTAAGAGTCCTAATCAAGTAACATATACCAGAAAATATGCTGGTTATAATATACCATTGATGGTATATTATAAAGAAGTACAAAAAATCCTATTGAAAAGTCATATAAAACAAAGTGTCAACAAATCTTCGTAACGCTTTGATTCGCCTGACAGTGTATCATCGACATGTTTAAAAGTTTATAACTGTGGCACTTTGGCTTATAAAGTTGGAAACGATTTTGTGAAACTGCGGTCGATTTTGCTTATGGAAATCTTATTTGATTTCTCAAAGAAACGTTCCAGTGATTCACCTAGCTGAACTAAGAAGAAACTAAAATTATTAATTCTAGTCACGAATCACGAAGAGAAAACTTTTGAATTAATCGTACGTAAGTTAAAGATCGTGATTTCAAATACCTCGTGGTAAGGTCATCAATCGACATAATGCTCGAGTAAAGAACATTTTCCATATTAAAATAGTACAGCCTTAGGCTTGATATAATTTTTTGTGAATAAAGTAATGTTTTTAAGAGGTAACCAGTCTGATCAGTTTTGTCCTTTCGTTAAACAATGTAAATATTATTATTCAACATACTATTGTGCATTTCATTTACTAAAAATACTAATTTTAATGCTGTTTCCCTAAACAAATCCATCAGTAATTATTAGTTAATATGCAAATAGTAAGTCTTAATTATAGCTTCGAAAGTAACTTTTAATGTGTTCCATTTACAAACATTTTCAATATACAAAATCATAACATTATGTACCTTATCCAACCCCATTATAACTATCAGGGAGAAAAGTGGTTAAAACTATCATGATTACCTTTCTTATAACACGCGAGGCAGTAATTTACAGAAACGTCCGAAGATCTGTCTATTTTTGTTAAACAATGAAATTAGTTCGTCGCCCAAACTCCACTGAATTATGGTATCTGTTGTTAAACATTACGCGAAGTTGATGTAATAATTATAGAGAAACAAATGAAACTTACCATCTACCATTATTGTAGTGCGAGGTAGGTGCGTTATACAGACTCCACTGAAACTTGGTGTATATGGTTATATATCTGTCAAAACTGTGGGCTGGTGTGTTGTACAAACGGCACTGAAATTTGGTGTTTATCATTATGCAGAATGTTGAGCACGTTATATTAAAATGATTTTGAATATACAAATGAGCAAGTGACGTGACAACCACAGCCGATATATATAATCGCGATGGAACGCCATATGTCAAAACTACAATTAGACCTTGCTTGGCAAATCGTTGGTATTGTGATGCTATCGAAAATTGATCGATTTTGGGAAGGGTATGTAACAGTCCTTTCCGATGCAAAATATTCATATATATGCAGATCGGGGATTTAGACTTTCCAAGACGAGGATATTCCATATCCCTTGTTCTTAATAACATTGGAAAACAAAGAATATGGATCAACTTGGGGTATCACCACCATCCAGAAAGTGACCAGCAAGAAGTCTACACCAACCATGGTAACTAAATTGCGTCGTCTTGCAACATGAAATTTCCCAAACACAAAAGCCGCCCACGTGTCCCATCCAAGAGTACGCAACATAATAAAGAATAATCTCCCTCTGGAAACGAGGCCAATAGGGTATGGGTTCTCCAAGGTGAGGCATACCTCCTTGTTCAACCATAGTATACCTCAAGCAGCTGAAGAATGAAACAGATATTTATGTTATTCCATATGAAAACATACCGGTCAAGACGCTGGACGCAGCAGCTATGGGTTTCTATACGATCGAACTATTAAGAGGGGCGCTGGGAAACCGTTATCCTCGTAGAGTAAATGATTATGGAAAGCAGGCAGGGAGGTGTGACGTACTTTGAACATGACAGCCGAACACCGAAGCCTTTTGCAATGGAAACTATACTTCATGACTATGATGTGGTGACATAGGCTGTAACAACGTAGTGAAGCTCCAAAATCGTTTTGATATAACGTACTCAACCCCTGTATTTCTGTTAAACATTGTATGAAGCTTATGTTATACAGCCCGTTCTAACTTGTTTGATTTCCTCATTTGACAATATTTATAAAAACAATAAAATTCGTTATACATTAAGAAATTAAGAGACTAATATTAATTTCTGATCTTTATTCACGTTACGGATAAATACAGGTTGTCATTGAAAGAAATCCTGATTCTTGGAAACAAACGAGAGAAATGTGAGCTTCTACGTCAAACTTGACACGACTAGTAGAAACAATTGAATGAATTCGTGCTGAAAATTTTTCTATGATACAAGTTTGTTGAACAGCTAGACAACGACGTGAAAAAGGTAACAATAATAACGTTTGGCAACAAATAGATTGTTATAGCAACAAGTCAACATTACTACTTGATGTGTCTAATTATACAAGAAAAAAGGAATTTAAGAAAACATAAAATGTATAAATTCACCAGATTTAAACACACAGCGCAGCACCAACTTACGATTTTGAAGTAAATGAGCAAATCTCAGGCGAAAACGTTATATCATGCTCAAACATCAAGCAAATAATTTGTTCAATACAAGAAAACATGATTGGTAAACAAGTTTCAAAACATAATGGTCCTTTTACGTTGAAACAAAACAAAGACACAAACATGGAAAAATGGCTGTCCTTTTTGCTCCCTTAACTGGGAAAAATTGACGTTTTCTTCATTTTCTATTTTTTCATCTCGCTTCACACACACTCTGTCTTGGGCAGCTTCATAAATAGTCAAGACGTCAAGCAAAGATCCAATATGACTACCTTCCTTCGGCTTCATCTTAATTTTCAGTTGAAAAAAAAATCCAAGCTTCAGGAAACCAATGCAAGGCGTAGTTTCTCTCACGATCTCTGCACATCTGGATTTTTAAAGGAACGATTTTGAAAATGATTCCTTGTTTTTCTAACTCTCGTTTCAAATCTCTTTCTTCTTTAGGTATCTCTCTCCTTCTTCACTTTCCCAGAAGACAGGTCATCACCAAGAATGGTGGCAATTTCTCCTTGCATGAAGGCCCAAGGGACATTGGATCCCACCAGAGGGCACTTTTCACCGCTTGGACAATAAACTTCATTTCCGTTAACTGCTCCCTGACTTTTAATGCTCTCACGTGAACAGGGAAAGCAGAACTTGTGATGTTGAATTGATGGACACTGGACAAAATGAGTATCTTCCAGCCTCTCGTTACACAATGTGCACTTCAGACCAGTAGTCGTGTGAGGTGTCTCAGATGAAGTTGTGGTTGTTGTGGCAGAAGTCGTGTTGGTGTTACTGGCTTCCACCTCCATGCTAGAATTACCAGAGTTATGACGACCTCCACCGGATGACTTCTTTCCAGAACCTGGGGGCGCTCCAGTGGGAGAGTGACGAGTAGTGGATGATGGCCTAGTAGCTCCGCCAGACGGTGACACCAGGTCTGTCCCTGGAATAACACTTCGTGGTGATCCAGGTGGAAGGTTATCAGTAACAGACATAAGTGATGCCATTGGTGACGGGCCATTTTGTGATGTGGCAACAGCAACGCTCTCCGGTGATTTTGATGAGCGACTGTTCATAGAAGAGATTGATGTAACGGAGGAAATAGAAGCGTTGGAAATACTTGTGAAAGCTGTCCAGAAAAAAAAACATTTAGAACAATTGTTAAGTTCCACGACACCGACCAAAAAATACTTTTCGGTACTTTTAAATACTTTACTGTTGAATCAAATGAAAACTTTGTAAAACATACTAGAAAACTAACTAAGAAATTTATAATAGATACACAAACCACTCACAAACTACAAATAGATAATGTGATATTAGCATCTTAATGTAGTATGTTCTCCATTAACACTTTATGTAGGTTACTCAAGTCAGTAACACTGAACAGTTGGTACTGCATCATCATTTAAACGATATTATCAGGTGTTAATGGACCAGAATTAACTTTACATATGATAAGTCAATCTGTAAGTCGACAGAATAGGCCACTAGAATGGTAAAACTCGCATGTATCGAGTATATATAAATATTTCGCTATTATTCGAATTGTAAGACAGCGAGTGCGAAAAATAAAACAAAGAAAAAAGTGTGAAGAAAAAGGGAATTTCTAAGAAAATAATTTTCATGTTAACCTATACGTAAATTAACTATTCTATATCTGTTTCGCTCTATAAACGCTTTATTTTCTTAAAACAGTGCGAGTTAACGTGTTGTATCTTTACTAAAACACTAGGAAATGTCTGTTTATTGTCGTCCTAGCTTTAGGAAAGATAAATATTTGATTGTATTCTCTTTAGTGTGATTAATTAAAAAAGAATTCCATAAAGCTTGAATGTATATAATTTACTTTTATTTGCTACAATTCCTGTAAATAGCCACTTATTATACTATAGCACAAATGCTGTTATGCAACAAGATAACATCTGAAAACACACACAAACTCTAGAAGGCATGAAGGCCAAAGAACCTTAGTCAGAACCCCAACATTATAAAGAACGACAGAGTATAGAAATAACGTCTATGTTGAAGATAAATCTTCCAGGATGCTAGAAGTGTAAGGTTCTAGAAATATTTTAGAAATAGTGTAATTATTGTATTTTATGAATGATGGGAGAGAGCCACCTATGAGAGTAAAAAAAAATGTTATAGAGAAATACTGTGGTTGAAACAACGGGCAGTCCAGGACTGTTAGATTTACGTAAACAGAGAAGAAGACAAAACTTAGAACATGATTCTGAACATTGAATACGCAGGAAAAGGAAGGAAGTATAAGGCATGTAGTGTTCAGTGGTTTGTTTAAGTTTTGGTATGACATAATACAGTTGCTGTCAAATACTTGTTTCTCTGCTTCCTCTAAATGATAATCTTTAGACATAGCAACAACGGAAAATCTTTTGTTAGCAGGCTTGATAAAAATGTCTTCCTGTTGCGTAAAGTTTGGAGTACAATGTATTTCACAAGTGAGGTTTAGCGGACTGATCTCTTAACGGCATCTCCTGATGAAAAAAGATAAAGCTTAAATACGCCTACCTGGAAAAAAACAGGTTGATTTCATGAAAAATGTCCTTACTGATAGAAACAGATGGTTCATTATGTCAGAGTCGTGTTCACCCGTTGTGTACGCAAAAATAAATATATTCAGAAAAATAATCATATGGTAAGAGCTTCGGCTGAAAAACATTTATCCTTTTAGTTTGTTTAGATATTACACTAGTGTTAAGTTTTTAACTATAAAATAATTCTGACAAATTAAGGTGGAAATGTTTGGTCTACGATACCGTCAAAAGATCCGGCTAAAAAGGTAAGAGCTGGATTCAGTAAGAATTGTTCAAATATATGTCAAACACATAAAAAGTCTTTTTTCAAACGTGCAAACTGCATAAAATGTATTTTAAAGTATCAAAACCAATATTGTCAACTAACAACTTTTTAGCAGTTTCTCTCGATGTTCTGCGATAAGGAAACTTAAGGCTTAATAAACCTTACAATTTAAATTTATTATTCCATACATTTTTAATCAGTCTTATATATTGTACCATTTATGTGACTTATGAATGCATCAATTTAGCATGAAAATTATAATAAATCCACGTCGGGGTGGGTGGGGTAATGGTTTCCTTTTAACACCGTTTCTTGAAAAATGAATTTAAGCGTTATTTCGATGTGAAACGTAACGACTCTAATAGTTCATTTTGTATAGACCAGCCAGTTTTCATTAACTTGCATGATTTGAAACAACAAAATAAAAACTTTGTCAAGTTTACTACATACAGTTAGTTTGCTTTAATGAACAGTGGGCGAGGAACTTCCACAACAGTTAAAAATAAGCTACATTATTATTTTATATTACACAGTGTGAAAATAATGATAATCACTTGAGGATCTGTAAATAAGTTCTGCTACAGTTTAGGCCGTTGTATCAAAATCCCGTAATGGTATACGCAAATTAATGGCAGCACAAACTCTAGCTGCGTTATAAACTATTTCAACAAGGAGTAGAAGCAATTACGCCATTAGAACATTTCCTAGCGAATACTAACAAATTACAATATCCTTTGGGCAGCCACGACTAGGCATCTACATGGCTAGCACTGTTTGTTAATCTATGGCATGAGGATACCGTTATATGAACGTTCCTGGAATTGATCCAGCAATCTTTTACTAAGCATTTCTTTGTTTTTCCGACCTTGAACTGACCTCGAATTATGAGATTCCTAAACATGCAGCCTTTTGTAAAAAACAATACAAGCAATGAGCTTTTATCTGAATAAAGTTAAAATTGCTTAAGGACATTTTATTCATAAGCATTAAGCTCATTACAGTCTAACTATAGCAGCATTGAATTTTTACAATCAATTGGAAAGATCATATTTGTCTGCATACCTAGCGTAACACGTCTGTGAGGTTAGTCCCTAACATGTAACTTAGTTAGTATTAATTATTTAGTTTTCCAACTTCGTCACGTAATAATAATAATAATTACACTGTTCTCCAACTCCCTATTTTACATTAGCTTCAAATATAAACATTTCTTATAGTTACTATAATATATTTTAACCAAGTGTTTGGCTTCTTATATGCTGATTGTGGCACACTTTTACCTCTTGGCTATAAAGGGAAGAAAAATTCGAAGGGGAGCAAATTTCAAGTGTTCTTTTCGTCAACAGTTTGAGTTCTCAATTCATACTATTGTAACTGGGTAGGTATATATAAAAATTGTTAAAGTGGTATGTATAATATAACTTCTAAGACAAGACGTACTGGTACCAAAGTGCTAATATAATGTATAAATGATAAGCCCTTCACAACTACACTGTCAACAGCATGAAACTAAAATTAGTAAAAAAAGGTTTTCGTCAAGCCACACGAAAGCGACCGGCATTTGATAACGTTTTATAAACACTAACGAAATTATGGATGTTTTTTAAAAGAAATACAAAGACGCGTAGAACATACAAACTTCTGATAAAAGTAGTGTCATTATGGTATTAGAAATTTGTGAATTTCTTGTAACTAGTAGGCTTGTCTAAATTATATATATATAAATACCATTTTAATTTTTATTAATTACTTAGTCTAAAACACATAAAATAAGTTTGTTTTAGTACAAAAAATTACATGGCGGGATAACCGACTTTACACATATTTTTACAGTAGATCAACTTGATAATTACCAGCAGCAGCCGTGGCAGCTTTCAAGCTTGAAGCTGTAGCGGCGTCAAAGGAGTACACACGTCCAACCATCGGGTGATCCTTTTTGTAGCGGGCATCAAAGGGCATACCCATCATAGCAGCTGGAAGGCTTTCTCCGCGTGTTAAGGGAGGTCGTCCGGCAGCATGGTCGTCCAACAACGCACGTTTATGGTTATTTTCAGAACTGCTAGAATTATTAGAATTTTCTTCCTCGTCTCTGTCACTTGAACGTTTGACTGATAACGAATTTTGGCGGCCGGTTGGTGTAGGTAGTGCAAGATGTGTTTGTGGATGTGCTATGGCCAGAGCAGCTGGAGGGGGCACTCGAACGGCCAGATTTGGACTTACTCTGTTAAGGGCAGCTGTTGTGGCATCATGGGGTACGTCTTCGACCCGATGTCCTGATAAACGTTGGTTATTGTAATCCAACAGTGCACGCGACCGAACATCGTGACCACTGAACCTGTCAACAGCCACGGTTGCGCGCGAGACAGAAGCAGCAGTGACAGGTACAGCATGAGATGGTAAGACCGTTGCTTCGGCTGACACCGCTACCCCATTCACAGCATTGTGATGATTTCTCGTGGCTATCGAAGATGGCTGCCTGCTATCCTGAAACCCATGAGCCCGTTTCATTTGGCGAGCTGTTTCGATGATGAGCTCAATGCGATCCGCACCCTCATAGTTGACACAGCCTCGGCATACAGGTTCTGAAAAGTCGTGCAACATGGCCCATGGCATTCTTGGTAGGTCACACAGGTAACACTGTTGCCTATGGCCACGAGATAGAGAAGACATTTTTACCATGGAGATAGCAAAACTATACCTAGATAATTTATACTAACGCGCCCAGAGAATAAGTACACAGTGTTGAATCCCAAGTCCCAATAAAACAGCTACTATTCCTAGTACTCCAAGCTCTCACACAGGCTTTTCACAGAAAAGCAAGACAGACTTCAAGAACAACGCTTTCAAGAAACTTTGCGCATGCGTAAAAAAGATCTGCTCCGGTCTATTAAGAGCACACTTACAGTACTGCGCGATGATGTCATCACAACGGCCACAGAAACAAGGAATGTTGTAATCGCGCCACTAGAGGACTCTCCAAGCTAGGCTTTTTTCTTTATTCAGTTATTTGTTGCCTGAACCGATATGTAAAAAACGGCTGACTCTGAAAGTTATTCAGTAAAACTTATTTTTCAATACTGAATTAGGGTAATTCATAGCGTTTTAATAAGATTAATTCAAATTATGGTGAAATGTACATTGAGCTATTTTTAAATATTCTAGAAAATGCTGATAAAAAGTTAAATATTCATACTTATAATATTTATATAGCAATTTAAATTTAAGGCATATATTTCTTCAAAATTATAAGACATTGCCAACTGTCCTTGCTTGTTAAAAATCCTGGCGCAGTTCCATCATCATGAACATTGCAGCTGGCAGTACGTCAGTTGACGTCATAATTTATTGATCGTCTGCGCAGCGAGAGAGACTATGGCAGCATGCCAAAAGCGTGACGTCCCGATCTCACCACGAAGTTGCTAGGCGAGTAACTTATGCACACGGCACTGCATGTACCTATGGTGAAATACGTCAGATGGACGAGACGTCCTAAACAATCGAAGTCAATGGAATTTATCAAAGAACCACACTTATTCATAACACAAGGTTGATTTCTCGTTAAAGATTCCTCTAAGCCTATTTATTATTGAAAATAACCAGACCATCATAGAAAAACCACTAACACGTTTAAATATTTAAAAATGTGCAATTAAAGGATGTATTTGATAAGCACTTTTGCATTAAATATAATGGGGAACTATTAAAAATAATTATTAGAAAATTTTAGTTTTTAATGAAAGAAAATTTCGAAAAGTTGTTTATAAGCGATAAATTTAATCTGCGCAAAATTGTCAAGATAAGTCATTCCTCTAAAATCTAAATGGTCTAGTTTTTCAATTAGCGGGAATATAAAAATAACAAAATATAACATGAAGATAGAATTTATATTAAATGTTTGATCTGGTTTTAGTGTAAGGTGATGTGTGTATACTATACGTAACAATATCTGTCTTACTTGGATCAATTAGTCTTTCATGCCAAAAACTGTTCCGATCTTTTAACTGATAATACAGGTGTGAGTTAACAGTTTCATCAGCACTGTTCGGGGAGTGGTTGTCAGAGCCAACAGACAGATTCAATCGCGAAGTAGAAGATAAAACCTGGTGACAGAAGATCTAGTTCTATACATTGTACTTATGCCGAGAAGGAAACTAAACTGACTGGTTGTCAGAGCCAACAGACAGATTAAATCGCGAAGGAGAAGACAACACCTGGTGACAGAAGACCTAGTTCTACACATTGTGCTTAAGCCGAGAAGGAAACTAAACTGACTAGTTTAGCAGCAAAGTATGTTTGTTTGTTGTTTAGAGCAAAGCAACACTGGACTATCTGCTGTGCACACCGCGTGGAATCGAACCCCTGATTTTAGCGTTGTAAGTTCGTAAACTTACCACTGTCCCACGGGGGACAGCAGCAAAGTTAAACAAGAAAGAATCCCCAATAGCTGCGGCTGTAACTATATCTCAAATCGGTTAAAAGATGGAGCTCTGAACTAAAAGTTTGCAATTGAAAAACTTAGAGCCATTTTATGAGCTGCTATGCCGCGGCTAAAAAGTTTAATCTCGCTTTGGAACTCGCATTCATAACAAAGAAAACTGTATGCAAAAAAATGCCCTTTTCTCCTTCTTACGTAAAATAATAACTATAAATAAACGAAATACTGACAGTGATATTTCTCTTAGCATACTACTCAAGACCGAAATGAAATTTAAATTAATTTTATTTTAAAAATATTCAACATGTTAAGAAAAACCATCATCATGTTGACGTATTAGTCGATTACGAGTTACCAACGAAGATTGTTGTTTGTTATTAAGCACAAAGCTACACAAAGGGCTAACTGTGCTCTGCCCACCACGGATATCGAAACCCGGTTCTTAATGGTGTCCGCAAACATTCCGCTGTGCCACGTGGGGGGGGGGGGGGACAAGAAATGTTAAAGGACAAAGTGAGCACTCAAAAAGTTGTCGTTGTTGTTTTTAATTTCAATTCGTAATTCTGATATATATACATATATTAATTTGATAATATATTTGGTGATATTGTTGTAAAGGTCTGGTTTACTACTAGATTTAAAGTATAAAAAGTAATTTGTTAATAATATTAACTTACGATCATAGCAAGCGTCCAACTTGGAGTGAAACTAAAGATCAACCTAGTGATGAAAACAGCTAATTAAATATACTTTTGTAACTTCCTGCTTAAAAAAAAAAGAATGCTTCGTTTTTTCATAAGTTGGGTATCCTAACTGTGAACGATATTTTCGGCCGTAAACCCAATAAAGTCTCACGAGGTTCGGCCAGCTTATGAAATTTAGGTGAGTCCTAAATTTTTATATATATATATATTACCAAACGATGTGGATAATAAAAATATAGAAATTAAAATTAAAAGTGATAAAATAAAACTCTATATGTATTAAACATTCTAACCATACTGTTAATAAATATAATAATAAAGAAATAACAGAGTATTATTTTCACCTGTTAGTGCTGTATTTCGTGATTCGAAAACTTAATCATTTCGAAAACACTGAAAATTTTGCCACGAGGGGAAAATGAGCATTTATCATAAGACTGACATATATTGAACTTCTAGCGAAATTGTTTTTCCATATTTTAATACGTCAGCGAGTTAGATAATGACTTCTACATTGGGACTTTTGTTTCTCAAAAATTTTCAATTAAAATTCACAGGTGAGAAATTTTTTTCATACACTCAGAAATTTACAATCACAAAATTTATTTAATGAAAAGAGTCAATGTTGTATGTGGATAAAATATGCAACATGGTCAAAGAAGCAGTTAAGAATAATTTCGTTAACAACAACAACAAATCACACATACAATTATAGATAAGTACCTGTAGTGCTTTATTTTTTTTTTTTTGTCTCAGCTGAAGACTAATTTAAATAATACCACTTTTAAGATTTATTTTGAGTAACATAATTATACGAAAACGAGGGATTGCTACACGAGCTGCAGAGGAATAAGTTTTTAACGTTCACTTAGTTTCATGGTAGTTTATAGAGCAACGTCTCAACGTCCAGACTGCTGGAAATTCAGTAAACGTGCAGTTTTCTCGAATCTAAAGCCTATATGTTGATTCTCTAAGATGTATTCAGATTCATAAAATTGTTTTATTGAATTCATTTAATTTTTATATCCATAGACAGACGTACAACCTATTGGCTTATACGACTCTTCTGAAATTTAGCCTTTTTATACATATCTGTACTAATACAACCACCTCACATAGACAAACACACTCCTGGTTATAGTCCAGTTTATATGTTACGTCCATGATTTTATTCATTTATATATTAACATCTCAATACTTCATATAATTCACATCATAACAGTTGTTACGTCTATGGTTATATATTATAGTCATTTACATATTAACACTTCAATACTTCATCTAATTCACATCATAACAGTTATTACGTCTATGGTTATATATTATATTCATTTATATAATAACAGTTCAATACTTCATCTAATTCATATCATAACAGTTGTTACGCCTATGGTTATATTCATTTATATATTAACACTTCAATACTTCGTCTAATTCACATCATAACAGTTGTTACGCCTATGGTTATATATTATATTCATTTATATATCAACACTTCAATACTTCGTCTAATCCACATCATTATTGTTCATATAATTTGATAATATAAACAGTGTCTTAACGGAGCTGGCCTGATGAGCCCTGATATTAACGTAAGGCCTCGTCGGCACTAGATTTATCAGATATAGTGTGGTTGGCATGTTTTTATACATTCTTCTTCATTTTCACTTATAAGCTCTTAAAATTTATAATTTTGTACTCGAAGTAAGTGTGTCATAAAGAAATAAATGTACGAGTGAAAGTGGGAAAATATCTTAAATATACTTATAGACGCATACATACAGTCAATCGAAGCAGTGTTAGACATGTTATACCGAACGACGTTTAATCCCTGAAGACCTGTCCTGCTGACTCAGCCGGTGTTTTCGTATGTGTGGGTGCGTAACGTCATGTGCATTACAAGCCTACACAAACCGTGTATAGAAAGCAGGCTTTGAACTGTCATGCGCACAAACACTTTCCTTTCCTAAACCCAGGCACACAAGTACGTCGCAATAGTAAATCCGTAACGCATGCTCCGTTGGCATAAAGGAGGTTCAGGTATGAACTGTAAACTCTTCAAACTTGACAGACACTAGTTGAGAGGGAGAATGTAGAATTGCACTGATATAAGCAGAGCTCGTTAAATAATATGTTGTCTTGGGGCGTGAATTTTATACCTGAACATAAATCGAATCACTTTATAACAGAAACAAACGCGTCAAATTTGATAAATAGTTCACATCTGATTCATCTGGTGTATTCAAAACAAACGTGTTTGTGTTTCAAACATCTTTAATATTTTAACGCTTACTAAAACAAACAAACAAAAATGATGAACAGGCAAACAAGAGACAAGAAAACAAACATGATGCACCAGTATTGGCTTTTCTTAGAATGCATATTTCATTCGTCCAGTGACAGTGAGACTGGAGCAGCGTTATTGTTAGTGCAACATCAAATGCTAATATATGCTGAATGCAATTATTGCACAAAGAAATAACTGCTTGCAGCTGTTTTATTTGTCAATAACTTTTGCCATTATTTGTATAGTTCAGAAATGATTTTCAGGGTCACTTATGCATCGCTGAAATGACATATAAACTTTCTAAAATTGTGTGATCATACACTGGATAACAATGTGGCAGAACTACAACTTTGCTGTTACTCTACGTATTAAATGGACCAGGAGTTATAGTTTGATTTTCTCGTTAGCAGGTGAGTGCTTGATCATTTGTATAGTGTCCAGCTTCAGG